GACAAAGAGCTTACATCCTCATATGGGATGACACATTATTATATTATAATGCAGTAGGGTACATGATAGGGGTTATGAGAACATTGGGAAGGGCATCACCACTGAGACAAGCTCATGGGTAGTTTTGGGGTAGAACAAGGGAAGGTGGTTGCTGATTGATATGGGTGATGAAATACAAGTAGGAACATCTGTAACAAGTGAACGTGGAGGAGTCTTTCTTCTTGGAATTTACTTTTCATGATCTGTTGTCCTTTTTTCTAAAAAGAGGGAAATAAGGGCTCAAAACTATGATCTTTAAGAAGGATTTATCCTTCCCAGTTACCAGGAGCAAAAGCTGTTGCAGTCCAGGATCAGCTTACTCGCTGGATGGGACAGATCAGGGATGGTTTGGTTATCCCGCTTGTAGCCTTTTCTGAAATTAAAATATCACACAAGGAAAGACTTGTCTGGTACAATTGCTTATTTTTTTTAAAGGAAAGGCAGTATTTAATTTTGTTTTGTTTTTAAGAATTTTTTTTATTGAAGTATAGTCAGTTTACAATGTTGTGTCAGTTTCTGGTGTATAGCACAATGTTTCAGTCATACATATACATACATATATTTGTTTTCATATTCTTTTTCATTATGGGTTACTGCAAGATATTGAATATAGTTTCCTGTGCTATACAGGAGAAACTTATTATATATCTATTTTATATATAGTAGTTAGTATCTGCAAATCTTGAACTCCTTATTTATCCTTTCTCACACCCTTCCCCCACAGTAACCATGTTCGTTTTCTATGTTTGTGAGTCAGTTTCTGTTTTGTAAATAAGTTCATTTGTGTCTTTTTTTTTTAGATTCCACATATGAGTGATATCATACAATATTTTTCTTTCTCTTTCTGTCTTGTTTCACTTAGAATGACGATTTCAATTGCACTTTTTCTTGATCTTGCAAGTCCTTATATCAGAAGCTCTAATCCAATTTTCTCAGACGCCATCTCCCTACTGGCCAACAAAGGTTCCATGCTGGGTCTTGCAAAATTAAGCTATAAGCTTTCCTACCACCAAAGGTTGGAATCTAAGCACAGATGTCAAAGTTAATCCCATTACCCCAGGCACTCTTAAACCCCCTAGAAAAGTAGATTTGTCTTGCTGCCTTTTCTAACGGTGAGGAATTTTCCTCTACTCAGCAACTTTCTTCATTTTGTTAGTTATACCTAATTGGGTTTATCTTTGTCTGAACCAACATGATGGACAGACCTTTTGGCAAGTGTTCTGTGTTTTTTTCTAGGGCTTAAAATGTGGGTCATAGACACCGCTAGAGACTAAATATCCACTGGGAATCTTTATCCCACTCTACCTGTTTTTTCTGAAAACAAACCTGTCATCAGTGACTCTGAAAACAGAACCTGGAGCTTTAAGGATGTTGTAGTAGTTACATGATATTACAGCCAAACTGAGTATGCCCAGTGGTGTTAATTGGGGTCATCTTCCAACATGCTTTTGAGGTCTGTGATTGCTACCCCTACAACCTAAGTCTCTTAAAGGCTAAATGCTTCTCAGTAGTCCAACGACCCCTGGACTTTTAGATAACTCACCATCGTAGTTGAACATTTAATTTGTGATTGGGCTCTTTCCTAACTAAACTTTTGTTGAGTGATCTCTAGTGAGTCCCTTTTATCCAAAATTCTTGGCAGTACAGTTTAGACAGGACAGAAAGACTTGTTTCAAATCCTGACTATAACACTTTTTCGATGTTGACCTTGGACAGCTTACTCAAACTCCATTAGTTTCTTCATCTGCAAAATTGGGACAATAATGTTCATCTCGGAGTTTTGTTGTAGGACTAAATGAAATAATGTATATAAAACATTTAGCACAGGACATGACTTAGAGTAAGCACTCAGTAAATAGTAGTTATTGTTCTGATTTCCTCACAAACTAGGGCATCATGTCCACAGTTCTACCAAGAATGGGTTGCCGACTATTGCCAAGGAGAGAGAGACTACAGGTTTACATTCAAGATTGTATGGAGAGCAAGAACAAGCAGTCAAACTGGAGATTGGTAGACAGATTTTGTACACTTATCTCTCCCCAGTCTTTGGCAAACGCTTTACTATATCGTAAGGAACGTGAGACACAGGGGAAGACTGACAGAAGGTGAGTTAGACTGAAATTGTGCAATTGGTTTGCAGCTCTGGTTCTCTCTGTTGCTACAGCCCAAGCGCATCATGCGCTGTTGTGTACAGGTCTCTGCTGCCTGCGGCTCCCCTTTGCTTCTCACCCTATGACTCATGAGATCACTGTGCCTCGTGTGCTAGGAGTCGGGTCTTAAAGCACCAAGGGGAGCTGCTGGTGTGCTGGTGAAGGAGACATGCCAAAGTGACTGTAAGAGAAGACCAGCTACATTAGTGAGCCGGATGCTGTGCTGGGAACCTAAGGCAACCAGGACCATGAGAGAGCATCTCTGTCCTCAAATTTCACACCACAATCTGGTGAGTGAGATAGACAAACATGCAGGCAATACCACTGCAGAGCAACGAGGGCCACACAGGTTTCAGCGTACGGTTCTAGAAGCCACAGCTAACCTTCCTGGAGGTCAGAGACAGGGGTGCCAACGTTGAGAAATAAAGGTCTAAAAAAGGAGTCAGCCAAAAGAGCAGACGTGTGTGCACATGCATGTACGCACCCCTGTGTGTTTAGTGGGGTGTAGGGTGGGGGCGGGAATGTTGGGAAGAGAGAAGACAAGGAGCATTTGGGAAGTGCTTCTAATGTGATGATGCACCTCGTGTGGTGCTCGGAGGAGAGAAGAGCAATGCACATTTGAGGAACTCTTTGCCCAACTGCTGCTGACGCCTCTCTGGTGTCTCGTCAGGGGCTCTGTCAGCGGAAGATTCCCTGGTGACCTGAACAGCGATGTGGGAGTTTCCTCCCCTCCAAAGACCCTGCTGGGAGAGACGAATCCTTTCTCACTGTGTCTCTCTGGTATTCCTTGCTTCTTGTCTCCCATTCTCCTCCATCACCTCCCTGAGTGCTTCCACTGCGACCCGAGGCTCGTCAAGGAGTTCTGCAGCCTGTGAGACTTTTAGGGAACAAGCTCTCAGCGGTGGGCTCCGTGATGCAGCCACCACCTTCCTCGCAAGGCGCACCTGTTCATCAAGCTCGCTGTCCGAGCGTTCTGTTGTGTTCAACCCTGACTTTGGCCCTGGCCCCTAGTCCCCAGGGCCTCTTGGCTGGCTTCCCTTGAAGAGAAGGTTGTTCTTTCAGCTCTTGTGTTCAGACAAGAAACCAGAGTGCTTTCTTCCTGCAGTTCTGTCTCAGATCCTGATTGAAACTGTTTTACAGTCCCCTGAATCCTGACAAGGAAAAACATCCATTACCCACTATTCACAGAAATCTCTCTGAAACAAGAGTCAACCTCCCTTTCTCTCTCTCTCTCCTCTCCCACCCTACTCTCCCCTCTTTCTGTCTCCTTCTCTTTCACTCTCCATCTGTCTCTTCCCTCCTGACCTGCTCCCCCCACCATGAGCAAAAACTCCCTTGGCCGTCCCACACTTCAACTTTCAAAACTTTTACAACGATCATTCCCAAGTTTCCTAATCTCTCAGCCTTTTCTGTGCGATCCCAGATTTGTATCTTTCCGAAAGTGTAACTAATATTTATTGAGAAGCTAATATATGCCAGATGCTTTCTATATATATGAACTCCTTGAAAACCTTATGGGAAGTAAATGTAATTAAATTTTTTTTAATGAGAAAATTGAGAGTCAAAGGTATAAAGTAATTTGCCCAATATCA